GCCCACCTGGAGGTGCACTGAAGCACATGGAGGTTTGGCTACTGGAAGGTGCCTACCCACCCAGAGATGCACTGAAACACAGGGAGGTCAGCCACTGGAGGACGGCTGCCAGCTTGGGGCTGCTTCAAGTTGGAGTCGGTCAGTTTCCCTGGCTATGCTAAAGCACGTGGAGGGTCCTGGTGTTGGCAGTTGCCTGATCCACCATCCTGGCACTCAGGATCTACTGCTGGTTTGCTGAGGTGGGTTTGATGCTGGCTTGCTGGGATGCTGTCTGTCCTGGACTGCACTCCCTTTTTAACCCAAATGGAAAACCTTTCTTGGATATCCTCCAAGTTTCCCAGACTAAAAGACTACTTCTCCCTGTCTTTCTTCTATCTCCACTGTTTCAGGATTTTTCCTGGGGCACTATTTTTTGGGCTTTTTAGAGGTTGATAAGAGAGAGTGAGAGCAATTTACTGCTTACTCCGCCATCTTGGCTCCAGGAAATTTTCTAATTCTTTAACCCAATTTTAAAGATAGATGGAGTAAAATAAAATTAATTCATAACTTTAAATACGAATGGATGTAACAATAAAATGAAAGAATAACAGATTGGATAAGAAATAAGGCGGCAAGGTTTTCAGTTGAGAGAGCAGAGAAGAAGTTGCCATGGAAAGTTTGAGGAAGGATGAAAAGGTTTAGAGAACTTCTATGGTGAGTGGGATAGTGAATTAATGAGAGAGGTGTAAAAAGAAGGCCTAGCAGTGAGAGCCCAGTTGAAGTTCTGTAGCATAAATCTGTAGTGAACCCAGTCAGCACAGTTGCTTAATTTTCTTCCGCTTTTAGCAGCACATGCACAAGAGCAAAGACAGTGGATGGTGGGAATCATCCAAGGCTAAGGCTTGGCAGGGCCATAATTGATGATATGGAGGCAAGGCAATTAAGAGAAGATGGAAATGTCAGTTTGAAGTGATTCACCAGGTAATAAAGATGGAGAAAGGAGAGTATAGATAATGCAGGGTTGATGGCCTAGTAGAGAAATGAGAGGTCAAGAAACTGGAAGTTACAATGTAAATGAAAAGCAAGGATTGGTATGAAAGGTAGTAGGAGATTGGAAAGTCAATAGACTATGATAATAAATCATACTTCATGAATACGGAAGTGGTGTTAGAAACAAAATTCAAAGCTTCCAAGGCAGAAAAATATTGCAAACAACCAGAAAGTGAAAGTTAAAGTACCAAGAACCCCAAATTACTGTAAAAGAGTGAAGGTCTTGTAAAACAATATTCCAAAATGTAAGACATAAAAGCTTCCAACTAAAAAATAACTTACCTCTAAAACTGAGTGTAATCTATAATGGAGAAAATGGATTATCAATGGACTAGAGGGACACTCAAATCTTCATAATGCAAAGACAAGAGCTAAGCAGAAACTTTGAAATGCAAACACCAGAGATAAGAGAAACTTATAAAGGTAAATATATTTGAGCAGTTAGAAGAGGCTAAATGATGACTAACTGCTTAATACTAACAGGGGGGAGGAGAAAACACGCTGATGCCCCTCCAGAATCTGAATGTCTTCAAGGGTAATAGAGGAAGCTAAATTAAGACAAACACAGGGACTCTGAATAGTTTTGCTGGTTTTAAGGGGGAAAAAAGATATGGAAAAGAAATTCAATACAGATGAAAAGAGGAAAAAGGATGAGAAGCATACTATATCATGTAAATGGGCTATGTTAAAAGATTATACACAAACCTCACTCTTTGAAGTAAACAACGGAAGATAATACACATACAAACATAAAAAGAGTTTGGTGTAGAACTACATTAGAAATTAGAAAGAAATAACAAACATTTATTAAGCCAGGCACTGTGTAAAAATGCTTTTTGAATATCTCATTTGGTTATTAAACTCAATAAAGATAAAGGAGGACAAGAAAGCAAAGTGATGTATAAAAAGGAGCCTAGAATTGGCTCTTCCAGCCAAAAGCAAAACAAACTTTAAGGGTGACTGTGAAGGGCTTGGTGAAGACAGGAAAAGCAGAGATAAGTGAACAGTTAACTTTAATTATAAGTTTAGTAATTATCAAATATCTTCCTTATCCTCAATCTTCTTTTTCTTTGTCAAGAAAGATGCTGAGAAGGAAAAGGATAAAGAGTAAGAGGATATAATAGAGAGAAATACAAAATTAACAGTCATAATAACGAATGTAAATTGGATGAAAAGGAAATAAATAAAAAGGAACTGGTTATACAAACTAGTACCTAACAATATGGTATTTAAATAAACACAATCACAAAAAAATGAAACATAAAGATTCACAAAAAGTTAAAATAAGGAACTTGGTCAGAATTATTCCAGATTAATTTTTTAAAAAAAATAAAGGTAGCAATTGGCAATAGGAAAAAGTGACATGGTAATGAGATAAGCAGGGAAACTATATAATGTTTTAAAGCATTGTAGATGACACGTAAAAAAATGTGGGGCACAAAAACATCTTAAATGCTCATTTAAAACAACTTGATACTAGTTAAGGAAGAGAATGTAGTTAGTGGTAACAAATTAGGTACAAAAGTAAGCATGCATAGTAGCTATTGTTTGGTCAACCCAAAGATCCCAACAATTGAAGTAAAAACTCACTATCTGACAAAAGTTGTTGGGTAAAATGGCAGAAACTAGGGAATCACAAGGAGAGCAAAGAACGGGGAAAAAGACACATATGTAGAAAAACAGTTATAACAGCTTTTTTTGCGGTGACAAAGAATCAGAAGTTGGGGGTACTCACCAATTGGGGAATGACTGAACAAATTATAGTATATGAATGTGATGGAACATTATTACACTGCAAGAAATGATGAAGGGAATCGCTTGAGAGAAATCTATGGAAACTTGTATCAACTGATAGAGTGAAGTGAGAAGCACTAGGAAAACAATTTATACAGTAACAGCAACACTATCAAAAGAAACAATTTTGAAAGATTCACGGAACTGATAAACACAAAGACCAGCCACAGTTCCAGAGGAATCATGATGGCACATGCTATATACCTCTGGATAAAGAGGTGATAGACTCAGAGTCTATCTCAGAGTCCAGATTTTGACATAGCCAATTAGGGAATTTGTTTTGCTTGACTATACAAGTTTGTAAAATGGGTTTTATTTTAACTTGTTTTGTCAGTGAAGGATGGGAAGAAGAGAAGGCAAATCTTTGTAAAAATGAAATAAAATTTAATTTAAAAATATTAAGATGATGCAGTTGACATAAAATTATTGGGAAATATAAAAATATCAGACAGAGAATATAGCTTTTAAAAATCATGGTCTGCTGTGAAGTTGTTTTCTTAGCTGGGATAGGATCAAAAAAAATAAAGTTATTCCCATTCCATAGCAATCATTATGATTACATCCATTATAATGGAAAGACTTAACTATAACCAACTATCTTACACCCTTCCATAGGGCATCAATCATTAAAAACAAAATTGTTTAGAAAGAAAAAGAAAATTACCATCCAAAATGGGATGTAACTAAAAAACAAAACAAGCCCCTCCCCAAGAAAGTGATACATTTAAATGCATTCAAGTATTTCTTTGAACATTTCTTACAAATACAAATCAATTAGCTTTATTTTGTTTTACAAGTAAAAATTAGTTTCATTTTTTCTTAGTAAAATGTTTAAAAAAATGTATAGACTGCTGTTTACTAATTTTTAAATACAGTGTAATATCAAATGTTAGGCCATTCTTGAAATTCAGGAGGCTTTAGTTTGAGAATATTCATTATTTTAAAAGAAAATCTTTTAAAGAATATTAAATAAAAAGTAGGCTCATGTCAGCAGTATCCAGAAGAAGATCCCGCAAGTATACAAAAAGGACGATTGTTTTTGAAAGAGATCTAAGGTATTTTTCTCTGGTGTCTTATGGTAAGTTTCAGTCTTCCCTGTATCTTTATTTTCCTTTCAAGTCACATTTTCTAGGTTCCAACTCTCCAAATTATGAATATATATATATGTATACACACACACACACACACACACACACACACATACATATGTGTATGTATTTATGTATGTATATACGATTCTCCAATCATGTTAAGTAATTACTTTTATAATTAAGTCAAGATACTAAAAAAATTGAATGTTGCTTTTTTCAAAAAACTTGGAAATGTTATTAAAAAAAACCTATAACAATATATTAAACTTGGCAAAAATTAATTAAGAACTTTCTTTAATGAAGACAAAATATATCAAAATTACTAGATGTAAAATACTTTTTCCAATATGAGTAGTGAACCTTGGGTTTGGGGTTGTTTTTTTTTTTTTGCTAGTTACTACGAAATACTAATTTAAAAATAATTAGATATTAAAAATATTTTCTGAATATTTCAGTTTAAATAAGTTTAAAATTTTAAACATTGTTTGCCCCAGAGTAGTTCAGATACCAAATTATTAGCAATTTTTATTTTTCTGTCAAAAGCAATTCAAATGAAAAGCACAGTAATAATGACATAAGACTTAAATAGGACTGCTTGAGTGATTTCAATTCTCAACAGACAATGCTAAAATGTTACGCATATTTTAATACTTTCATTTGCACAAAGTTAATTTCCTTTTTAAAGGAAATTTCTAAAAATAGCTTTTTCCTTGTTAGTTCCTGAATTATCTAAAATTCAGAATATTGTTTTTCTCCAAGAACAGTTTAAATCCCAAATAATATGAAAAATGTTTACTCTCACCTCAGAAAGATCACAGGATGATCATAGACTAAGAAAATGGATCTTCAGGTCACAGGAATGAAATAATAAAATCTTGAGTAATCAAGTTAAATATAATTTGGAATGTAAGAAAATGTGTAATTAAAGAAAAGCATAAGAAATATCTTTTGCAGAAGGGAGTTTTTTAACTACAGAAAATAACCCAAAAAAGTCATGATTGCTGACCTGAGGTGAAATTGAGACATTATAATAATAGAATTTATGATCACTAAGTTTCTATTATTGTTACCATGTGTAGGAAGTAGTATAATTAAAAGCAGTCATTTTTATTAACAATATTAATATAGACATGGGGGGACATTTGGCCTACAGCACTACAAAAGATAAAAGTTTACTGTGAAATATATTTTCTTTACAAGACACTAGGAAAATTCTCACTTACAGTGAAGAGTTTTACTTAATTTTTTCCAAAAGTGAAATTAAGAAGTTTTACAAATGTTTTCTCTAGAATTGATTAGCATAAACTCTTTAAATTCCCCCAAAAGGTAAACAAGTTATAATTAAAGAAAAAAAGATATTTATCTTATTGTTCGACACCAGGTTCTTCTCGTTTTCAAAGCCTCTTTCAGGATTCCATTCCAGATGCTAATACTATTTTTTAAAGGTAAACTGTTGAATTTATTGAAAAGATATCTAACTGCTACAATGTACAAGTCAGTTATTTCAAACCAAAAGGTTAGATTATCATTTATCATTCTTCATACTTTTGTCACAATAATAACTTTTAAATTAACTAAGAACTAAGACTTATCAACTACTGAAAGAGGACTGACAATGCGTTGTCTCATTGCAGTCTGTGAAAAGTCTTTTTTAGATGGATTTTTGTTCTCTGATTCATCATATGAATGATCCTCTTCATCTTCCTCTTGTTCCTGTTCCAATTTTTTCAAAAGATGGGCAGATTCTGGCAGCAGTTTTTCTTAAAGAAAAAAAAAAGTCATACACAATTAGTTTAAGAAGTCTTATGAAGTTTAAGAAAATTTACTGAACAATTTAGAGATCTTCAAATTAAATAAACATTGATAAGCAATTATATTGCCTCAACTCCTATTTATCAAGAGCTTAGACTTCCAACAATAATTAGTTATTATAAACTCTTTAGATGTTTACGCACAGCGCAAGACAGAATAATAGACAGTATAAGAAGGAAGAAGCAAAATAAGATTCTCATTTTCATGGTATACTAGAAAGACTGGTGGATCCTAGAATACTGCTTTGTAAAGTATAATATTTCAAGTAGTCATTCAGTTTCTGCTTACAGGCGTTCAAAGATAGAGAACTCCTTACCCACCACAGTGTCAGGATAACAAGCACAGTTAACATTGTAATAAAATTTTCTTGACATTGTAAGCTATAAAATAAACATAAATCGTTGGCATTTCTACATATTACCAACAAAGTCCGATAGAAAGAGAAATTCCATTTAAAGTTACTGTAGACATTATAAAATATTTAGGAGTCTACCTACCGAAACTAACCCAGGAACTATACGAATACAATCACAAAACACTTTCGTACAAATAAAGTCAGAACTAAATAACTGGAAAAACATCAGTTGCTCATGGGTAGGCCGAGCTAATATAATAAAAACGACAATTCTACTTAAGCTAATTTACTTATTCAGTGTCATACCAATCAAATTACCAAAATATTATTTTATAGAATTAGAAAAAATAGTAACAAGATTCATTTGGAAGAACAAAACGTCCAGAATATCAAGGGAACTAATGAAAAGAAATGCAGGAGAAGGTGGCCTAGCTACTCCAGATCTTAAATTGTATTATAAAGCAGCAATCATCAAAACTGCTTGGTACTAGCTAAGAAATAGAGCGATGGATCTTGCACAGGTTAAGTATGCAAGACACAGTAGTCAATGACTGTAGTAATCTATTATTTGATGAATCCAAAGACCCCAGCTTCTGGGATAAAAACTCACTATTTGACAAAAACTACTGGGAAAACTGGAAAAGAATATGGAAGAAACTATGCAGAGATCAAAATCTCACACCATATACCAAAAAAAAGTCAAAATGGGTTCACGATTTAGATATAAAGGTTGATACTATAAGCAAACTGGGAGAGCAAGGAATAGTTTACCTATCAGATTTATGGAGAACAGAAGAACTCATGACCAAACAGGAGACAGAGAACATTACGAAATGCAAAATGGATAACTGTGATTACATTTAAGTGAAAAGTTTTTGCATAAACAAAGCCAATGCAACCAAGGTTAGAAGGAAAGGAGAAAATTGGGAAAGAATTTTTACAACCAGTTTCTCTGATAAGGGCCTCAACTCTAAAATATATAGAGAATTAAGTCAAATTTATAACAAGTCATTGCCCAATTGATAAACAGTCAAAGGATATGAACAGGCAGTTCTCAGATGAAGAAATTAAAGCCATTTATAGTCACCTGAAGAAATGCTCTAACTCACTATTGAGTAGAGAAATGCAAATCAAAACAACTCTGAGGTACCACATCACACCTATCAGATTGGCCAACACAACAAAACAGGACAATAATAAATGTTGGAGAAGATATGGGAAAATTGGAACACTAATGCATTATTGGTGGAGTTGTGAAATGATCCAACCATTTTGGAGAGCAATTTGGAACTATGCCAAAGGGCTATAAAAATGTGCATACACTCAGACCCAGCAATAGCACTTCTAGGGCTATATCCCAAAGAGATCATACAAATGTGGAAAAGGACCCACATGGAAAAAATATTTATAGCAGCTCTTTTTGTGGTGGCACAAAATTGGAAATTGAGAGGATACCCATCAACTAGGGAATGGCTGAACAAATTGTGGTATATGAATGTAATGGAATACTACTGCACTATAAGAAATGATGAACAGGCAGACTTCAGAAAAACCTAGAAAGACCTGTATGGTCTGATGCTGAGTGAAGTGAGCAGAACCAGGAGAACATTGTACACAGTAACAGCCACATTGTGCAAAGATTAATACAAGACTTAACCCTTCTCAGCAATATAAGGATCTAAGACATCTCCAAAGGCCTAATGATGGAAAATGCTAACCACATCCAAAGAAAGAATAATGGAGTTTGAATGCAGATCAAAGCATACTATTTGCTATTTTTCTTCTTCTGTTGTGTTTTGTTTCCTCTTTCTGGTGGTTCCCCCTATTGGTTCTAATTCTTCCTTACAACATCACTAATGTGAAAAAATATTTAAAAAGAATGTATATGTATAGCCTATATCAGATTGCATGCCATCTTGGGGAGGGAGGTGGAGAAAAATTTAAATCTCAAAAGCTTATGGAAGTGATTTTTGATAAATCAAAATAAATTAATTAAAAAAAAATTTTCTTGACACAGTCAATTCCATATTTTAAGAAGCGTCAATTGTAAGGAAGTTTTTCCTCATGATTTGAGTTGAAATCTTCTTCCTTGTAACTTTTACCTCTTAAACCTAATTCTGCTTCCCAAGATAAAGGGGAAGTTTAAGTCCCTCTTTCACATGACAATCTTTCAAATATTTGAAACAACAATCAAATCAACTTATTCTTCTTCAAATTAATTAATTCCAGTTCCTTTACCCAATCCTAATATGACATGTTGACTTATGTGCCCTCTGGACCCAGTTCAGTTTGCCAACAACTGATCAAAAATGTTGAATCTAGAACTATTAAGTAATATAAGACAGGAACAACCCTTGCTCTGAGCCATCATCTCCAAGGGCAAAAAGGCATCGATCAACTGATTGATGAGGAGGATAAGTTCCTTTTCCAGGTCCCTAATAATGTCTTAAAGAGAAACATTCTCTGAGTGGAGGGGCCAGCAATGTTAATGGAAATGTGATTTTTCCCAGACATGGCCCTTAGTACGTGATCCTATTCACTGAGCCTATGTGCCCTTCCCTCTTGTCTTCCAAGCAAATGAAAATGATTGTGAGTAACTACAATAAACGAGTCTTAGAAAAAAGACTACTTATTATCTGAAAAGCAGGGAAACAGTGAAGGAGGGAATAATGGGAGGGCAAGTAAAATTAGGATCTCTTGGAACTAACAATTTCATCTTACCAACAGGTCTTTCAGGTTTTGAGGGGATAAGTCACCTTGGATATTCTCATTCTTTGGAAGCAAACAACATACTGTTTTAATAGATATTTGGGTCTATATGGTTCTTTAATTTCTGAGCTACTTCTAGTAAAGTTCTATAAGCTAAGAAAAAGACAATGGCTGAAGAGGAAATTTTTGGTAAGATTCCTTTGGCGAAATAAGCATACTTCCCCTTTTGTTATGCTAGATTTCGATCAAACATTTCCACCCTAGGATTTTGCAATACCTTAGCATGTCCGCTAATTAACAGGACACCACAAAACTCTCAAAAAGTTTAAGTTAATTTAAAAACATACTTACTTGAATAAGTATACTGCAGTGGTTTATTCCTTTTCGAAGGACAAAGGAAGTCTGCCACAAATACCATAACCTGTAACCAGAAAAAATGAGAGAAATCAGAGCATCTAGTGACAGATAACTCAAACTCTATCTCATAAAGGTCTATAAATTCATATTCCTAACAATCTGAGAAAAGGTATACTCACAAGTCCTAGTATTAGGCCTGAGAACAGAGTTGCTAAGGCAAAAATTGCATAGGATCCCCAAACTGGTATTTTAAGGTCTTCTGTAAAATAGTTATGGCAAGTCTAAATTTTAAAGAGAATAAAGAGTGAACTAAGAAACTGGTCATTTCAACAGAGCAGCAAATTGTTTAAAACTGAAAGAAGATTTAAGTCCATACCCTAATCCACATAGACAGCTGAAAAAGAGCTGACATACTGCTCATACTAAAATAAAAGATACATAATTAGAAAACATGACAAGATTGGTGAGTCTATTGAATTTATACTGAAACAGAACTGCCTGTAGATGGGACTGCAGTTATTGACAAATTGTTACTACCTGATTTCTCCATACCCTGAACAGATAGCTACTGATTTCTTTGACTATATCTCCCTTCTCCTAAGTATGAAAATTTATTTGCTTTGTAGGTTGTTCCTTTCAGTCATTTTTTGCATATTTTTAATACAAGACAAATGTGTGTATTTCCACATATATACACATATATGTATATGTATGTGTGTGAGTGTATTTCTAAGTAAGAATCCATCAAAGGTTATACATTTTTTCCCTCCCTCAACCCCAGAGAATTGAAGATTTGAAAAATGTAGTTTTCTCTATTTTCTTAATGATATTGTTTTCACAGTGTCAAATCACAATAATATCAGTAGCAGATTCATAGGACATTCAATGAGCCTCCATACTCAGACTAAATTATATCCCCAGAGTAATCGATGTTTCAAAATGACTTTAAGCTACTACTTATCCCCCTCCCCCCAAATTTTTTACTCCTTTAGTGAAAAGCAATCTGATTGTTCTATATCATGGCATCATAATGAAAATACACTTTACAATTTCTTAAATTATGCTGTAACACTCACCCCTCCCCATTTTGGTTTATCACTTAGTCCTTAAAAGCTTTTTTTTTTTTTTGCTGCTCCTAAAAGCAAAATCAAGTCACTTTTAGAGAATGCCCCTTTCCTTTCTATTTTATCAACTGATATGTCCAAGTCCTATATGCAGTAGGAGCACAAACGGCAAAAACTTCAGAAGCCTAAGATTTAAACTAAGATTTAATATTTTCTTCATATATATAGTAAATATTTTTTCCAAGTTATTACTTTACAATAATCAGATTGTCACTAATACTTTAAAATCTAAAAGGGAGGAGTAAAAATCCAAAAATGCTTACAGAAAAGAACCTGGCCCAAACCATGAAGAAATAGGTTCAATATTTTTCCACTGTTTGTCATTTATGAAACTTATAAAGTCCTTTTTAGTCCTGGGGCCTTGATATCTTCTAAATTCTCCATCTCTACAGCTATGTAAAAAATAAAAAGGATATCAGACTCCAAATCATAAATTACAGCTGTCATATATACAGAAAGTAGTAAGTCTCAATTAAAGAGCTAAAATTATACTTCTATATTTACATTGTTTTTCATTGAATATTAACATTTAAAGTTAGTAGTAGTACATAAATATATTACATTGATCATTTTCACTCATGAAATTCTAGTCCAAAATATAAATGAGGAGCAATATAACTTTCTTCTTAAGTCATACAGTTCAATACCATTACCATTAATTTACTTTAGTCAATAAAATTATGGACATCTGCCACAAGGAAAAAAAATCATGAAGTCTTGCCATACTTCAATGTATTAGTATTATGCATCATGGGAACAAAATTCTGAGGTATCAAATTTATAGAAAAATAAAATTAAGTAATGCTCAAAGAAATTTATGAGAAACTTAATAGGCCTCTAAATGAATAAGCTAGTAGCTGATAATCAAAATAACAAAGTCAGAGGATATTCTGGGAAGATGGTAGATCAGGTCAGAAATTTCTAGGCTCTCTAGATTTTCTCCACAGACAGACAGAAAATAGCCATGAAATGAATGCAAAGCAGCAAAAATAAAGGAGTAAAGCAGCTGTCTGCCTAAGACAACTTGAAAGGACCTCAGAAAAGACAGGGCCCTCAGGAGCTGAAGTTTGGCCTCAGTGAAATACAGATAATTATAGGCTGACTCCACTGAATCAACAAACAGAAAGCCCCAGAGCATCTCTGTTAGGAAGCAGACTAGGTAGGCCTCAAGAAATTTCACCTCATGAAAAGAAATACTAGGGGAGGTAGCCTAGCTGTACCAGATCTTAAATTTTATTATAAAGCAGCAATAACCAAACTACTTGTTAGTGGCTAAGAAATAGAGTGGTGGATCAGTGGAATAGGATAGATACGCAAAGCACAGTAGTCAATGACTATAGTAATCTAGTGTCCAGCTTCTGGAATAAGAACTCACTATTTGACAAAAACTGTTGGGAAAACTGGAAAATACTATGGCAGAAACTAGGCACAGACCAACATCTAACACCGTATACCAAAATAAAGTCAAAATGGATACATGATTCAGATAATAAAGGCTGATACTGTAAGCAAGCTGGGAGAGCAAGGAATAGTTTACCTCTCAGATTTATGGAGAACAGAAGAATTTATGACCAAACAAGAGACAGAGAACATTATGAAATGCAAAATGGGTAATTTTGATTACATTAAATTGAAAAGGTTTTGCACAAACAAAGCCAAAGCAATCAAAATTAGGAGGAAGCAGAAAACTGGGAAACAATTTTTACAACCAGTATCTCTAATAAAGACCCCATTTCTAAAATATATTCTATATATAAGTCATTCCTCAACTGATAAATTTGGTCCAAGGATATGGACAGGCAGTTTTCAGAGGAAGAAATTAAAGTTATCTTTAGTCATATGAAAAAATGCTCTAAATCACTACTGAGTAGAGAAATGCAAATCAAAACAACTGTGAAGTACCACATCACATCTATCAGATTGGCTAACATGACAAAACAGGACAATGATAAATGTTGGAGAAGATGTGGGAAAACTGGAACACTAAAATGTATTATTGGTGGTGTCATGAACTGATCCAACCATTTTGGAGAGCAATTTGGAACTATGCCCAAAAGACTATAAAAATGTGCATACCCTTTGACCCAGCAATACCACTTCTAGGTCTGTATCCCCAAGAGATCATAAAAATGGGAAAAGGACCCACATTTGCAAAAATATTTATAGCAGCTCTTACTGCAAAGAACTGAAATTGAGGGATGCCCATCAATTGGGGAATGGCTGAACAAACTTCTATGTGAATGTGATGGAATACTATTGTACAATAAGAAATGATGAACAGGCATAGCCTTTGACCCAGCAATACCACTTCTAGGGCTGTATCCCAAAGAGATCATACAAATGGGAAAAGGACCCACATGTATAAAAATATTTAAGGCAGTTCTTTTTGTGGTGGCAAACAATTGGAAATTAAAGGAATGCCCATCAGTTGGGGAATGGCTGAACAAGTTGTGGTATATGAAGTAATGGAATATTATTGTGCTGTAAGAAATGATGAGCAGGCAAACTTCAGAAAAACCTGGAAAGACTTATATGAACTGATGCTGAGTGAAGTGAGCACAACTAGGAGAACATTGTACACAGTAATAGTCATAATGTGAGATGACTGACTTTGATAGACTTGGCTCTTCTCAGCAATGCAAGGATCTAAGTCAACTCCAAATGATTCATTATAGAAAATGCTATCCACATCCAGAGAAAGAATTATGGAGTCTGAATGCAGATGGAAGCATACTATTGCTCTCCTTTTTCTTTCTTGTTTTATTTTACTGCTTCATTCTTGTGGCTCCTCCTGTTAATTCTAATTGTTCTTTACATCATGACTAATGGGACAATATGCTTATTATAAATGTATAAGTAGAGCCTACTATCAGATGGCATGCAGTCTTGGGGGGGATAGAAGAGAGGGAGGAGGAGAAAATTTAAAACTCAAAATCTTATGGAAGTGAATGTTGAAAACTAAAAATAAAGAAATAAATAAATAGATAGATAGATAGATAGATAAATAGAAAAAAGAAATTTCACCTCAACTTTCACCTCACTCACTACCTCAAAATATTTCACCTCATGAACTTTTTTTTACCTCACAGCCTCAGGCACTTTCACCTCATGAACTTTTTTACCTCACAAACTTTCATCTAAGGATCAGCAGATGGATGAGTGAGAGAAGACTGAAGGACCCCTGCTGTTTCCAAAGGCCAGACCTAGCAGTGCTAACCAGAAGTGACCCCAGGCTGTGGCTGTGGGCAAGGAGGAGCGAGCACATGTCCTGTGAGTGGGGTACCACATGGAGCAAGAACATTTTTGGAACAGCATGGCTGGGGCCCTACAAATGATTTAGGGGAGGAGAGGAGTCACTGAGGTTGAGCCACTGGAGTGAATTCAGAAGATTATAGTAAAGGAGGATCTGAGGCCTAGGGCAACAATACCCACAACTCAAAATAAAACAAAATAAAAATGATTAAGCAAAGGAAAAAGAACCCAACCACAGATAGCTACTTTGGTGTAAAAGAATATCTTGGTTCATATTCAAAGGAAGACAGTGTAGTTAAAAAAAACAAAACAAAACAACACTCCTACCCCAAAGAGTAACATCAAATGGTCACAAACCCAAAAGGAGCTCTTGCAAGAACTCCAAAAGAAATTCAAAAATCAGATTAGAGAGACTGAGGAAAAATTAGAAAAAAAAATAAAAGCAATCCAAGAAAATTATGAAAAGTAAGTTAAAAAAGACGAAAAAGATGTCCAAAATTTTCAGGAAGAAAATAACTCCTTGAAAACTAAAATTAGTGGGGCAGCTAGGTGGCGCAGTGGATAGAGCACCGGGCCTGAAGTCAGGAGGACCTGAGTTCAAACCCAGCCTCAGATCAACACTTGACACTTACTAGCTGTGTGACCCTGGGCAAGTCACTTAACCCCAATTGCCTAAAAAAAAACTAATTAAAAAAAAAAGAAAACTAAAATTAGGCAAGAGGAATTGAATGACATTATAAGACACCAAGAAATAATAAAACAAGAAAAAACACAGAAGAGAATCTAAAACACCTCATTAGAAAAACAACTGATTTGCAGCACAGATCAAGGAGTGACAACATAAGAATTGCTGGACTACCTGAAAGTTATGATCAAAAAAATAATCTGGATACAATATTACAAGAAATTATTAAGGAAAACTGCCCTGAAATTCTAGAAAAAGAGGGTAAATTAGAAATAGAAAATCAAAGGAGTAATGAAATTGAAAGTTAAAAAAAATTTTCAATAAACAAAATTAGAAGCTAGTTTTATGGAAAAAAAATAAGATGATAAATTAGCCAACGGTTAATTTGATTTAAAAAGAGAAGAAAGCCAAATTACCAGTAGGTCTCAAGACAGAACTATGCTTTACTGAAATAAGACTCCTATATTTTCTCTATTATTACATGTACCGAGAACTAATTTCAAAGATCTAAATTTCATTGTGATCTAGTGGATAGAGAGATAGCCTTAGACTCAGAAGAATTGTGTTCAAGCCTCTTATACATATCAGTTCTATAAACATGGCAAAGTAACTTAACCTTTCAGTGTTCCAGGAAACTAAGACTGTACTGGAAGAAGTAATACAAATGCTGACTTGTTTTGATAGTGAGATTCCATACTTGGAGATCCCTACACCAATGAAATCATAAGCCTAATCAAAACAAAACAAAACCCCACTTTCAAATACTTACTGGTAGATAGTGGGAAGCGCAGTTATGATAAACCGACCACTAAGACCTGTAAATAAATATTAAGGCTTGATAAATATAATAAAAAAAATTCTGGCAGAGATACACTGATAGGTTTCCCCAGGCTAAATATATATCACTTTTAAATTGCAAGTACTTCTCTTATATTTTAAAGAATTTTTTATATGTTATATTACCTATATTTCCAATTATGTCCTTTCCCTTCCTTTGAAAAGAATTAAACAATTAAACAAGGGTTGATCAACAAATTGAGAAAGTCTCACAGTATGTGTAGCATTCCATTCCCATAGTTCCTCACCTTTGCAAAGAATGAGATGTCTTCTCACAGCAATTCACACTATGACATGCTCATAGATCATAGTCGTGGTCATTATAATTTCAGTATATTCAGTTTTGATTATTTTGTTGTTCTTTCCATTTTATGTTGCAGCAACTGTTTTCTTGAATCTGCTTACTCCACTCTGAATAATTCATATATGCTTCTCTTTATTCATCCTATTCACTGTTTCTTAAAGCAAGGTGATATTCCATTATATTCATGTACCACAATTAGTTTATCCACTTCCCAAATGATGGGAATCTATTTTGTTTTAAATTCTTTGCTACTACAAAAAGTTAATGCTATAAATATCTTACATGGAAACTTTCTTTTTATTATTCTACCTCCTTGAGATATGTATGCCTAGCAGTAGGATCTTTGGATCAAGTGATACTGACATTTAAGACACTTTCTTTGCTTAATTCCAAATTCCTTTCCAGACGATCGGACTAAATCAGTTCCCCATCAGGAGTGCATTAATGTTTTTTATTTCCATAGGCCTTCCAACCATTAATGACTTGTTGTTCAGTTGTTCTCAGTCATATCTGACTCTTTGTGATCCCATCTAGGGTTTTCTTGGCAAAGATACCAGAGTGGTTTGTCATTTCTTCTCCAGATCATTTTACAGATGAGGAAACTGAGGCTAACAGAGTTAAGTGACTTGCTAAGGGCCACACAGCTATAAGTGTCTGAGTCCAGATTTGAACTCAGGAAGATGAGTCTTCCCGACTCCTGACTCCAGGCCCAGTACTCTATTCACTGCATCACATTGCCCCAACATTGACTATTCCTATCTATAATTTTCTTTTTTAAATTATCTTTATGAAATCAATGGGTATAATGGCAAATCCTACTAAATGCACAAGTTATTCCATTCCATCCTTTTACAGAAGATTGCCTTCTCTATCTTCCCTACTCCCACCAATTTTCAATCACTCCCCGTTTACTGGCTGCCTCCTTACTGCCAGCAAACATACCTATGGCTCCTCTACCATCCAAAAAATCCAAAACAAAACAAAAAATTTTAAAACCCTCACTTGATCCATCCATCCCCCACAAGTTATCTTCCTATATCTTTCCTCTCTTTTGTGCCTAAATTTCTTAAGAAGACAGTCTACAATAAGTGCCTCCATTTCCTTTCCTTTCACTGTCTCCTTAAATCTTTATAGTCTGGCTTCTGATCTCATCATTCAACCAAAACTAGTCTCTCCAAAGTCACTAATAATCTCTTAATGGCCAAATCTAATGCTCTTTTCTCAATCCTCATCTTCCTTTACATCTCTGCAGGCTTTGGCACTGCCAATTACTCTCTCCTCCTTAATACTTTTTCTTTAAATTTGCACAATACTATTCTACCCTGGTTCTCCTTTCTAACTATTCTTTCTCAGTGTCATTTGATGGATATTCTCTCATGTCACACCTGCATAGAGGTTCTACAATGTTCGGTCCTGAGACATCTCTGCTTCTTTCTCTATACTATTTCACATTGGGATTTGTTCCCACACTTTCAATTATCATCTCTATACAGAAGACTCTCAGATCTGCTTGTCCAGCTAACCTCTCTCATGACTTCAGGTCCTGCATCTCCAACAGTGTATTAGACATTTTCAACCAGATGTCCCATAGACCTCAAACAACATGTCTAAAAATATATTCTGTATTTCCCCCCCAAATTCCCCCTTTTTCTAATGTCCCCACTATTGCCCAGGGTACCATCCTCCCAATCACCCAGGCTTGATACCTAAGTATCATCCTTTACTCCTTACATGCTCTCATCCCCATATTCAATCAGTTGTCAAGTCCTGTCATTTCTACCTTATACAGTGTATATATGTGTACAGGCCCTCATCAACTAATCTATTACAACAGCCTTCTGACTGTTCTGCCTGTTAAAAGCCTCTCCCTAGTCTAGAAGAACTTCCACTCAGTTGTCTTATCAATCATCAAAAAATATAAGTATAATCATATTATTCCTCTCCCTCATTCAATAAACTACAGTGTCTCCTTACCACCTCCAGAATCAAATATAAAATTCATTATTTGACTTTTAAAACTCCTCCTAACCTGACCCCTTTATACCTTTCCTGGTCTTTTTACATTCCTCCCACCCCTCCACTAGCATCCTGCAATCCAGCGACACATGGCCTCCTCACTGTTACCTTCATATGACACTTCATCTCTTGACATGTAGCATTTTTCACTACCTGTCATCCATGTCTACTAAATTTTTCTTCTACATCTCTGCCTACTAGTTTCCCTAAAGACTCAGCTAAAGTTCTATCTTCTACAAGGAGGTTTTCCCACTTCTCCTTAGTGTCCTCCCTCTGAGAATATCCCTAATTCATCATGTATATATCTTGTTTGTACACAGTTCTTTTCATATTGTCTCTCCCATTAGATCGTGAACAGATTCTTTTTTGCTCTTCTTTGTATCCCTAACACTTAGTACAATAATTAGCACATAATAGGCACTTTATAAATACTAGTTTACTGACTGAATTATTTTGACATTAACAGCTATATAAAAGAAATGTTACAAATCACTAATAATAATTTTCATTATTAATTTAATTAATATACTATTGACATAATAATTTTCATTAGTATCTGTGATTTGGAACATTCTTTTAAACAGCTGCTGACAGCTTGCAATCTTTCTTTTGAGAAATATTTTTCCGTATCTTTTGGCATATTTATAGGGGAATGACTTTTGGTCATATATATTTTGAGTTGTCTATATATACTGGTTATAAGACCTTTATCACATATTTGATACAAAAATATTTTCCTCTTCTTATTTTTGTCCCATTATTTCTGTTTGTATAGTTTTTCAATTTCATGTAGTCATCTTTTATGAATTTTATTCTTTGATTAAGAATGTATTTCAACATAGATGTGATAAGTATCTGTTTCTCTTCTAATATTTTTTATAATCTTAAAAATTACTATTGCACATCCATTTGAGTTTATTGTGTTATATGGTGTTAGTCATTGGTCTCGACCTAATTTCTGCCAGATTGTTTTCCTGCTTTACCAGGTATTGTTAAAAAAGAGTGACTTCTTCCCCACATAATTCATAAATTCAGGTTTACTGAACATTTGGTTATGTCAAATTATTTCTTATTCTTCCTAATCTAGTCTGTTCTACTGACTTAATTTTATAGCCAAATAGTTAATGAAAATTACTCTATAATTTGAGGGCTGGAAGGGCTATTCCTCTTCTCACAGTCTCCTCTGTAAGTACTCTAGCTGTAATCTGATTGATATAGAACTTTACCTACGCATTGAGTTGGGTAATGTCATTTTTATGCTGAAAAAGTCAACTCATAAGCATTTAATATCTCTCCAATGATTTTAGCTGTTTTTTTTTAAATTACTTTAAGGAAGATGCTGTAATTATATATACACAGGTCTTCTATTTGTTTGGCAAACTGACTACCAGATATTTTATGCATTATAGTTATTTTGAATAAAGCCTTTTTTCTATTATTCTCACCTGGATTGTATTATTGCCATATATAAAAGCTTCCAATTTTTATTATATAATAATTCTAATTTGTATTTTCTTAAAAGATACTTTTAAAAATTATACTTGCTTATGTTTCATGGTTTTTTTTTTAGCAAAGATAAGTCTTATACTTTGTATAAAAAGCATAAAGGTCTTTTTCTGCCTCTGCTGATAAAATTGTTAGCTTTATATGCTTTTATTTTCAACATTATCTTCATTGTTTTCCTAGCATAGAATCATCTTTGCATCTCTGATATAAATCCAACTTGATAATAGCAAATGATTTTTTAGATAAATTCTTGTACTCTTTTTTGCCAAGATTTTATTTAATTTTTTGGAACAGTTGTACATTATGTTAATCTACAATTATCTTTATCTCATAATGGGACAGTAACAGAATTTTCTTTCATTTGAAAATCTGAGTAGTATATGTATTAGTCTTTCTTTTAAAGTTTGATAGAATTCTATAACTTCATCTAGAATAGGTACCTACCCCACTTTGGTAATTTCTTCCAAGTTAGTTCAATTTCCTTTTCTGAGTTTGATTTATCACTTCAATTTAGTATTCTGTTAATTTGTACATATTAAATTTCTGCATAAAATTATTTTAGTTCTATTTTATTAGCATAAAACTATACAGCAGATTCTGTTAACTTCTAATTATTGAATTTCACTCTGTTAATTTTAAATTCCATTAATTTGATTTTCCTCTCTCTTTAACCTGGTTGGCTGATAATTTACCAATTTTGCTACTCTTTCCAAAGAACCAGCTTTTAAAAGTTTTATTAGTTTCATAATCTTTTTTTCTAAATTATTATTTTTTTAATTTTCAAGATTTCTTTTTTACTATTATTTTGGATTTATGTGCTATTTTCCCAACTTTTAATTGTCAATTCATTAACCTCTTTTTCTATTTTGTTAATATATGTTCTGAATAATATGCCTTTTACTCTGAGGGCTGCTTTAGTTAAATTACAATAATTTTGGTACACTACCTTTTCATTATAATTATATTTCACATAGGTATTGTTTTTACGATTCTCTTCTTTGACCTAATACTTGTTCAGAATGTTGTTACAAAATTTCCATTAAGGCCTCTATCTTGTTTTTGCTATTTGCATCAATTATGATTTCTATTCAAATCTATAAGGGATGCTGTGGATATTTATGTTTTAAAATTCCTCTGTTCCCCAATACACTA